TCCTGTGTCATAAGGCTTGTGGACTTTCTCTGAAACAAATTCTGTCTAAATATCATAAAAATGTAGATAAAAATGATGCTATGGTTTATCATTTTGTTAAAAAATTTTCAAATTGCATCAAACGTCATGATGTATACTTCACACAGGTGAATTGTACTCTTGAAATGTTTAAAGAATGTCACGGACTGTGAAATTTGTTTTGAATAAAGTTTTATTGAACAAACAAGAGAGTTAAGGTGTAAAGCTGATCCATTTCTTCAAAGTGGGGACATTGCTCCAGCTTGGTGATAAAATGATATTTCTCCTCGGTTTTTTCTTTTTTTTCTTCAAAACACCGTCTTCGGAATCCGGAAGCACAACCCCTCCATTCCTGAGTTGCGTAATCTGACGTTTCGCTAGCGGATTGGACACGATAGATAAGGGTACATTTTTTTCTACTAGAGTTTTTAGGAAAGGAGTCCAACCCGTCGGTTCTGATTGTGGATGTTTTTTTAACGGGTTGCTGATGCTTTTAATCAAGTCAAGGATGTGTGATCCTTTCTGCACATCGCCTTTATATTTAAATTCCCCCGTCGGAGTCCAGTTTAATCGTGTCATTTTCAGCAGGTACTCGGCGTTTTTTCTTCCGCGTACAGGAAGATTCTGTAGCGTTTCATTAATGAGTGTGTCAGCCGCTGTTTCTACAGCTGACGTAGGCTCAGCCGTCACCGTGGGCGGTTCAGTGGGAGGTGCACTTTCGTGTAATCCGCTTCTCAACAACTTTAAATAACGCTGTAGCAGCGCATTGTATTTTTTAATTTTCTCATACGGCGTTAATCCCGTCTCCTGCATAATTAATTTCATTTCAGAGTCAAGATTATCTTCAGCCACGTCCCGTATCGTAGGTTTAACAAGCTGACGTAATTGTTGGGGGGTCACCATAAACATTTTTTGAGAAGCCATCGTTTATTTCCTTATTAAGCCACCTATCAGTTCACCGATCAGAGGCGCAGCGGCTGCTAGTAGTATGGGTAGAAATCCGCCTTTCTGGCCGACTAAAAGCTTCTTTTTTTTAAAAAGGCTAGTTTTGTTATGAGTCAACTGTCTGAGCAATTCTTTGCTTTTAGACAACTTTTGAAATTGACGCGGCGACAGACGTATATTTCCTTTGATCACGTTTAAAGCTATCTCGCACAAAGCCTTCAGAACGTCCTCGGAGCACCCTTTTAAAAACTCCTGACGTTGGCGAGGCTTCATACGTGACAAAGCACGTAGAATCTTGGCGTTGCGTTTTATCCGGGCTGACATGGCTCTGTTTTAGACAAATACACCGCAGTGAGCTGATCCGGAAGTAAACCTGTACGGAGACGGAAAGATTCTGGCGTTTCCGCTTTTAAATCCACAATTAAATAACCGTACGGTTCTGACGTAGCATCTTGAAAACTCTCCATGAAATATCTTTTTTGGGTAGGATATATTTGATTTGCTAATACATTGATTTGCAATTTGTCTCGAGGGTTTTTAAACAAAATCAAATAATTGGTGTTTAAGCTGATGGAACGACTATGTTTTCCTTGATGAAAAACATTTTGAGTGATTAAAATGACGCTCATATTTCTGTGATGTCTCAGCTGGGTAAATAATTTTAGCACTCCAGGATGGCTGGACGTTTGAGACATCATGTCATCCAAGATCACCAAGTGGTTTTGACCCGATGGAAATAAATCATCATCCTCGAATGAAAGCGGGAGACCTTGAACGAATCTAATACTTTTATTACAAAGATCATCATATATAGGTTGATAAGATGTAAAAAACCACACGATGTTTTTGGCATTTCAGTTAAACATTGCATACAATTTTCCAAAATACTTTTTACAAAAAAGGTTTTTCCACAGCCTGACGGACCAGCTATTTGTACACTGAATGGAGATTTCAGTCTAGCGTCAAAATCAGTTTCCATTTTTAATACCCAAATGGTTCTGTACTGCCGTCAGCAAATAACCTCCGCTTATCAAAAATCACACGAAACCTTTTCACAAATGAAACATTCGAGAGAGTGAGGCCTTTTTTATCCCTCTTGACGATCTCCTGCCGAGTTTGCAAAAATCTTCCCCTTTCTCCAGCCACGTACCCCTCAACCAGCAGCGCTAAGCTGTCAAAATTGATGTGATCAGATGAAATGAATGACTGTGTGATACCCTTAGCCTTTAGCACCACCTGCTGGCGGTCCCGGGTTTTGTAAGCATACGTTTTTGGACCGGATGAAGCAAATTCCGTGATGGAATCGCCGTGCAGTTCATCAGTTAAATCCCCCAGCAGCGGTCCTGTTGGTAAAACACACTCACTCTCTTTGACAGAATAAATTATAGAATCTGTATCGTAATAAATGACGCGATTTCCCAGTTTGTTCAACGCATTTAATAATTTCAGTCTGGCATAATTTGTGGTGAAAGCGGCTATAAATATGTTATTGCTTCTGCCAGGAGTCGTTAGGCATTTTTCTGTCAAACTGTGCTGCACCAGAACGGCTCCTGAAGTGACAAAGCTGAAGAATTTAACTTTGTGTTTCCCTGAAAACAGAATGTCAAAAAATTCATCAGGTTTTTGAACAAATGTGGTTTGTACAAGATCATCTCTTTGGCCAAACTTTCCCCAGAGTGAATTGAGACATAATTTTGAAATGGCACGCTTAGCAGGATTGTGCTGAATCTTAGACTCATCTAATTGTATTCCCTGATGAAGTTGGTAGTCCTGAATGTATTTTCTTTTCGACTCATCGTCAATCAATCCTTCAGGAAAACCAGACGCTTGTTGTTTCTGCTTCAAAAACGTGTTAATGTAACCTGCGAACACATCTTTACTGCTTTTCTCAAAATCCCAGACTTCAATCATTTTCACCAGACGGTAACCTGACTCCAAAGCGTAATTGAACTCTACACTCACCCAAACGCCCGTCAAAGCACGTTGAGACGCGCTGTGTGAACAAGAATCAGATTGATTATTCATTTCAGCGCATGTGCGACATAGTGTAAAAACAAGTTTACCTTTGGATGTTTTAAAAGGCAGAACAGGGAAAAACAGTTTTCTGGGTGGCAAAACGACAGCTTTAATCAAGCCAAAATAGTGACTTGGATCTCTGAAATTTTTAACATGAATTTTGGGATGGCCTATGGGACAGTGGCGGATCTAGGATTTTTCTGAGGGTGGGGCCATCAAGGGGCCACAATATTTATAGGGGGGCCACGTACAGTCCAACATACCTGCATACTATTCCCAGTTTTGTATGGTAGATACAGTTTACCACCCACACCATGTTGAAAAACATTAATGCAATTGTACATCAATTTTTACTGTACATAGACAAAATACAACCACACATAGCATTTGAGAAATTTTAGCATTCAATTTATTTTGCTAAGGCACAAATATAAGATTAAAATATGTTTGTGTGTGGAAAAAAACACCAGAAGAATATCTTGGTAGGTCAAAGGAGGAAAGTGAACAGGACACCAAGAAATGACTGTAATCTATTTAAAAACTGAACATACTGGTCTCCATGACACATTAAACAGACATGCAACAATGACATGGAATCAGTTTGAAAAAGCTGAGCATGTTTTACTTTATTGCCCAAAATAAAAAGTTGAAAGAATTATTGTCAATCACCAATGACTTCTGAACAGTGACTTATTATGGTCATTACCAAACCTCCTTGGCATAAAGCAGATGAGTCCTGATCTCATTACGCCCTTAACTCATTTAGTTTAAAACATCTCTGTAACAAACATGCAGTTTCATGTGGTTGTCTACTGTACATCCTACTCTTCTAAAAGAGCATTATTCTTCGGTTTTTGTGATGAGAACTAAACAGTCTCACAAATTCATTCATGTCTAATGCTTTTGCTCGTCTGGACTCAATACTCAACACCCCAAGATGACTCAAGCGCTCATCTGTCATTGTTGTTCGCAAATGATTTTTAATCAAACTTAGTGCCGAAAAGCTGCGCTCACATGAAGCACTGCTCACCGGAATTACAATGGCTATTTTTGCAAGCCTAAATAATTCAAGAAACAGCTCCTTGAATGGTTCTAGGAATACTACAAATTCTAGAAGTGTAGTAAACCTCTGCATCCCACTTTTTTCTTTACAATCCAACAGTCTCTTTATCTGTTGAAGCTCACTGGCCAGGTAATCAACATTTGAATCAAAAAACTTGGCAAAGGAAAAAAGAGCATCTTCTTGCAAAAAGGTGATGCTTTGAGGATGAAGTGCTTGGATTCCCTTCATAATTGTGCAGCTGCGCTTAGAGAAACGTCGTTGAAGTTCACCTGTCATTGAATCCAAAACTGGATAGAAAATGTGTCTTTTAAAGTTTTCCCTGTCATTTTTATCAACTCTACGCTCACCAGTTGATGTGGTAAGTATGTAATCATGTAGCCGCCTATTTGTCTTAGGCTGCCTCTTCTCAGTCTTTTCCCAACTTTGATCACACTTTACAGCCATTTCCTCCACCTCCCTCCATACAACCTCAAAAAAGGCCTCACTCCTGTATTTCTGCAACGTGGCCAGTAAGGAATCCACAAGACTGACTGCTGCTGAGAGGTCCAGTGAGGGCGACTGTAGCATGTCTGACAAAAACTTGGACTGACCCAGGACTTTTTTGAACATAACCAAGAGTCCAATAAAGTTAAGATCAATTTGGGCCAGTAAGCCACGAGCATCTACTGCCCGATCACCTTGACTTTCCAGCCCAATTTCTTGCAGTAAACGGCACACTGCTGGGAGTCTGTCAAGCAGGTTGTGACAGGCGGCGTACCTGCAAGCCCACCTAGTGTCACTTAGCTTTGGAAGTTCACGAGGCAGACCGTCATACATTTCTCTCTGACTGCTATGCCATTTTGTGTGCACATATGATCCAGACAAAAAACTATGTAGTTTCTGAAGAAGTGAGAAAAAACAGTCAGCCTCAGAAACAGATTTCACACTATCAACAATCACAAGGTTCAAACAATGAGCATTACAATGCACATAAAATGCATATTTGGCTACACACACCTGAGTGCTTGCCACTCATGACAGTAGCACCATCGTAGCCCTGGCCAACCAGGTTGTTGCGGTATTCTAGTCCATGTTTTTCAAGGCATTTTATGATCAAGTCAGTGAGCCCTGCTGCATCTAGGCTGTCAGCTTTCATGAAGTCAATAAAGCTCTCATGTATGACCCCTCTGTAATAATATCTGATGACCAGTGACACTTGCTCTTTTTTCTGAAGGTCTTTGGCTTCATCAGCTATTATACTGAACACCTCACTCTGTTTAACTTCCCTCACTATTTCCTCTTGAACCATTCCTGCCAGGCATTCCAACATTTCATTTTGAATGGTTTTGCTGGTATATTTGGCATTAGCATGAGCTTTCATGCGCTTCTCTAGAAACGAATCATGCTTAGCTATTTCTTCTAAAATAGCCAAAAAGTTACCTCGGTTACCCGAGTCCTCAGATTCTCTGTGACCCCTCTGGGAAATGTTCTGTGTGGCAGTTAAAAGCAGGACTTCTGCAATAGTTTTAATATATGTCTGATTCTCCTTAATTTTCTTTTCTCTCTCTGTGTTAAAAGACTCTGTCATGCATGATTTTGTTTGAGTGGTCATTTCATGCTGTTTCCATGCAAACATAGCATTTTGGTGGTGGTCTGATTTAGAGTGGTCTTTAAAGCCACCTTCTTTACACAAAGCTTTCTTCCAGTTGGAGAAACCACTTTCTGTTCTGAATACAGAAGACAGGGCATTTGGAAGGGAGAAATGGCGGCAGGCATAACAAAATACAGAGTCTCTACTGATGGAGTACTCCAACCACGTGTATTCTCTGTACCATGACTCGTTGAATGCCCTCTTGCGGTTGCCATGTTGCGTCTTGGGGAAAACCTTAAGGAGAGGCTGCACAGGACCCTCTGCTCTTGACTGGGAAATGTCTGGTGGGAAGTAAATGAAATAAGTCTGAGTCAATTGCTTAAATCTCTCAACCTTTAACATTCATGGCATTCAGAATCTGCAAGTGATTGACTGCAAAATTCAATTAAATTTTAAAGAGCCTTTACAAAATGAGAAGCATACCACCAGGTCCTACTGGAACAGAACACTGTTCCGATGTCTGCGCAGGACTCTGTGCATCACACTGGAAGATGTCTGAAAACAGCAAATGAAAAATGATCTAACATAAGCCGAATACATACACAAGCATTTATTACTTTCTAAGATCAATGTTTACCATTTGATCCTGCAGGATTAGCAGTGATTGGTGACTCTGGTGGCCCAGCAGGATGGAAGGTTAAGTCATTAATTTTACTCTGGTTGTCCGAATTGGAGAGAGTCTTGTCCCAGTTTGCAGCTAAAACACAAATATATGTCAAACTCCAGCCAAATCCAGCCAAAACTTTGTTTTCTATGAGACCACATTTTTATTTATTTGAAATTGAAGACTTGAAAGATTGGACTATAAAGATGAGTTGTGGTAGATGTAGACAAAGGAACCAATACAATTTAAATCCATTATGTTAATGTTATAGTAAATCACATCACCATGAAGCGGAAGAATTCAGTAAACATATGTGCCATTAGTACAAGATAACAACATCATTTAACAATTTTGAGATAATGGTGATTTTTTTATTTTTACCTAGAATAATGGCAGGAAAAACTGGACTAACAAAGGAATATCCAAAACACAAAATCTCTTTGGAAAACTTAACCTTGACCTTAATTAATCAACCAATTATAAAATTCAGTGTTTCAAACACGGACTTTTCCCACAAATTTTACAATACATTAAAATGTCACAGTTTAGGGAAACCTTGAAGGAATTGTGGGAAAGGAAACTTAACTGCAACATTCCTGATGATGAATGGAAAGATGCTTTGAGAAATGTAAAGTCATTTACTAAAGGGAAGCAATTTTGCCACTAATGATTAGTCACAATTAACAACTTCTATCAATTTAAACAATAATCCTTTATTTTTGGTACTTGGAATAACTGACCCAATTATTACTGATAAATATAAAAAGCTCAATGCAAATTTTCTGTGCAAGAAAATGACTCCACATTAATTTGATCAGCTCCAAGATCAAATGGGAAAAGGATATCCTCAATTATAAGCAGAAACATTGGGCAGCATTAGCTCGTTCATAAGTGGTCAGACCGTCCTGCTGGATAATGTGGTGCAATCATGATCTTTTTACAAAAGATTATGCGATGGCGGTGAAAAGGGGGCTTGGGGGCGGTCTCTGCGCTGCCACGGACTTCAGTTTATCTTGGACATAACTTGCTTTTTATTGCGATCAAAGCCACACTCATTAAGCTTTTTTAACAAGCCGCTCCAGAAGATGTCTGTCCCCGTGCAGTCTCTGGTGATCTGAGCTTCAACTCTTACGGAGAGAGGCTCCCCATCATCTCAGCTGATTCTGTTTAGAAAAGCCAAACTTACGTTACGGCCCATGTTTGCTTTCATTTTCAATATAGTTGCCGGCCGGAGCTCGGCAGTAGCTGCCCACGTGATCATGATACCCTCTGTTGCGCCAAGTTGTAATATGCATTCACAAGTCCGGCGTTGCGGTAAAATTAGTATCAACCGTGGCAGCACGAATGCCACAAAATGCCCGCAACACCATGCCGCCACGGTGCGTTTACACGTACGCTGATTTCCCGGCATGGTGTGTCCTAAAAGAGGCTGTCTCTCGTGTTTATCTGACATGACTGTTGCACAATAAAGATTATATTCTTTCTGACCTGATAAAGGGGGAATGGAGGTGCCTTGCCCTGTTCCAGCCTCTGGTCCACTGCCTCCTGCTGCTCTCTCTCAGATTTCTCCAAGCTCGTTCTCACCAGCTGACACACTCACTCTCTTTGGAAAATACTGCAGAATTCCCGCCTGTATCTGACCCTTTCTTTTCATGTTCTCTATTACAGTGCCAACTATTAACACACAAAATGCAGATTACAAAAGAAGTACATGGATTAGCAAGGGCTAACGTTTTTTCACAAGCCTTTAACATTACTGTTAACTAATGTCGGCATTGCTTTCCATTTGACTTATTGTCAGAAATGACTTACATAGCAACTGTGAGTAAACAGTGATTCATGACTTACCAACAAACTCCTCATAACGTGAACTCTCTTCAGATGTCGGTTGAAAGTTCTCCCTCCTTGGAATCTTTCAAATCTTCTTCTGTTAGATTTCACACACTATTTTGCTCCTTAGCGCCACGCGGCCACTAGTGTTTGGACTCGGAATTGCATCCACCTACAATCTCTTCACCGCACAAAGGACAAATGAGTGACAGGACAGGGGCACTACAGGGGCCAATCAGATTTCAGCAGGGGCCAGTGCCCCTGTGGCCCCGCCCTTAGAACCGCCAATGCTATGGGATAAGCCTGTGTGGCATTTACATAAGGGTACAGACTCGTAAAATCCACATAGTGGATTTTTTCACCGCTCTGAGCCGAATGCCTCAGCCGAACCGGACAAGTTCTGCCTCCATACAGGGCTTCACGAGGTAAAAGAGGAGCTGGCGGTGGGTCAAATCTTGAGACAAACTGTTTCACGTCCGGATCAGTTTTTACCATCTCCTGCCAATCATGTTCCCAAATGACATTCATTTTTAATCGATGCACAGTTTCCAACGACTGAAGCTTTTCGACGGTTTTGTCATAAATTTCACCAAAAGTGATTTTTCTCAGAGGACATATGGATGACTGTAAGAAACATTTTGGACAGCCGTGGAAAAAACAACCCATATACTCAAACCCTTGTTCGACGCCTGAAATCACAGCATATCCGTCGAGATAAAAATCTCCCACTTTATACTCCCCCAAAGGCGTTAAAGCGTGTTGAATGTCTACATTTTGACTGCGTGAAACCCATTCCAGCCACACGATGCTTGAACTTGAAAATGGTTTTTGTTGCGGTCGATAGCCGAGCGGACAAGGAATGGCCAATGTGTCTGGTTTTAGGAATTTTGATCTAAACACGCGCATGCAAGCTGAAGCGATCGTGACAGATTTCAGCGGGTCGATACCTGTTTCATTAAAAAACTCCTCTCTGAAAATACCGCATGCTTTACGCAGAATTTCCACATCGTTTCTACAATAAAACACGGCCTCCTTTCTGAAATCAAACAGCTGCTGTTTAGACACATCGGTGTACCATTCTAAAAATATTTTTTTATGCTCCGGAGACATTTGTTCAATCCCATAATGGCTGACATCTTTATAAGGCCCTTTATAATTCAGATGTTCAAGCGATGAAAATCTGTGAGGAAAATAACCTTTAGTTTTATCTGTAAAGCCCAAAGCAGCTGGAAGGTTGGTTAATTTCATCATGAGAAAACTTAAGGAATCTATGAATCTCAACCCGAAATCTGGATCGTGAAAACTCAGGATTTTACAGCCTTGCATGAGTATATTTTTGGGAACAATTTTTAATTGACACATAGCTCTCAAAATTATATAAGCATCAAATCCGCGCGCATTGTGTGCAACAAATGTATAATTGCTGAATTTAGGACGACGCATCTGCATAATAAAATCTTTAATGCAATCTAAACCAAATTTCTCCCAAACGTCGCCTGAATCGGATTTTGCACAGATTAAAAAAGGTGTATGCACACCGTTCTGATCCGTAAACGTTTCAGTGTCGTAATAAATAACCTTTTCCGTTAAACCGTCATCTTTTTTTTCAAGCTGAATAAAACAGCGATGATCATCCGTGACCACCGACTGTTTGCAAACGATGCATTTGGTCGCTGAGCAAACGTGCTGTGAACCATTTCCACCCATGGAGATGTAATAAGTTTGTTTACAAATGGTGCATTTTTTAAACATTTCGCAAGGAGAAACTAACCTGTTTGCTTGAGGCCTTAAAACAGGTGTTTTGTGAGTTTGAAAACAAATTACATTTTGGCATATTCGATTACAATCAGAACATGTGATGAGAGACGTTTCTGTTCGTTTGCATAAATCGGTATTACACACGCGACAGAACCATTTACAATGATGTCCGTTCATGTTATTATAAGCGGAAAAGCACCATGAACAAAAATATTTGGCTCCTAAGAAACCTTTAATATTTTTTATGCCGTAATAATGTTGGTTCAGTAGCAAAATGAACAACGGATTGGACCGATCGCTAAAATCTGTTTCAAATTTAGAAATGATTCTGTCGGATCTGTAAAAAATGATTATTTTTCTTTGAACAATATTTTCAAATCGAATCACGTCGCTAAATGAAACGGTTGATTGCTCCTGAAGCCCTGCCTGTTGATGAATATTTTTAGCCACATTCAATAATTCTGTATCTCTCGCTGAGGGATTTAACAGTCCGGCTATGCTTAGCGCAAAACACAACGGCTGATTTGCCTCTGGAGGGCAAATGAGATGGTTTCGTTTTTTATTGACTAATTCGTGATCCAGAATGGTTTCGATTTTTCGTTTCCCACCGCCAGAAGGATTATTTATCACTTGCAGTCTGAAATTAAATTCGTTGTCGGCCTCTAATGCTTCATTTGATTGGACTAACAGATCCAGTAAATACTGAAGCTGATTTAACATATTTGATCCGTCATAATTAAAATTAACGTGGTGCGTCGTGTGCAAAGTATTAATTTCAAACTGGACTCTATCGTTGGGACGCGCGATCTGGCTTCCTCTTTCAGCAAACCTGTTTAATATTTCCATCAGATTAATATAAAACTCGGCTGGGTCGTTGATTGCTTGAAAAGACACTCTCTCTCTAATTTCACGCTGGTTAAAAGCTGCGTTTACGCTCCCTCCGATCTGCCGGTGTTCTATTTGTCTCAAAATTTCATCTACAGCTTGTGGAGAAGGGTCATCTGAATTTGCCAGTATTTGATCGATCTCGTTTACGCTCTGCTGGTGTTCTATTTGTCTGAAAATTTCGTTTATTGCTTCTGATGAAGGCTCATCTGAATTTGCTAGAATTTGATCGACCTCGTTTGAAACGGCTTGGGATGCTAAAATATCGTCTAAGATCTCACTATCTGAAGCTAATTCATCTACTTCACTCAGTCCGCTTAAATCAAACCAGTCATTTAATAGGATTTCTTCGGCCTCCACTGAGGGATTTTGGCTGGCTAAAATTCGATCTAACAAATCTACGTTTAATTCATCATCTACTTCAAACAAATCTGAAAGGTCATCAAACCAATTTTCACTCATGATACAAAAGACATTAAAAACCTACTAAAAATGAAGAAAAAAAATCTGCGTCCTCCTTTTACAGAGCCAGAACTTGCTGGATCACTTCCACCAGGCCGGAATTCACTTGCAGGAGCAGGTAGCCAAGCTTCATCCTGTTTGATCTCTGAAGTGGCGTAAATCTGCCCCGCTTCTTCTTCTTTAACCGTTTTTCTGATGAAAAAATAAATAAAAAATAAATAAAATG